AATGGGACAGGAAGTGTAAGTCCCAGAAAAGAAGTCTTTCCTCCATCCAAGTTAATGGGAGGCCCACAGGCCCCTGGGAGGCTCCAACACAGAGCGTCCCCCTCCAGAAAATGACGTCAGCCCCTTTCTCTTCCCTAGCCATGACCAAAACTCATGAGATGCATTTCTCAGGAATGCTGGAATCCAGTTACTCTGGAAAACTTGTGAGAAGGGGAGCCCACCTTGGAAATTTACCCTGGAACAATTCCTTGGAAATTTGACATGCACTGCTTTCTCTTCTATTCAGTGCCTCAAAGGAGTGGATGATGCCCACCCCCATTTGGGAAGGAAATCATTTTTACTGAGGTCACCACGTTAAAAGCCAATGTCATCTGGAAACACCCTCATAGACACATGCACAAATAATATTTAACCTGGGCATTCCACAGCCCAGTCAAATTGACACCTAAAATTACCCATCATACACGCCTTGGAGGCTAATGGTGAGCATACACACACAGAAAGACAGACAGACACACAGCTTGGCACTGGGCGTTCTGAATACTGAGATGGGCCATTTCCTGACCTTTGCCTTGGGGAAGATGGGTCTCCTATGAATAGGCAAATGGTCCTAGTTGTCAGGTCAAAGCGATCCTGGGACATGTCTTAGTAGGAGAGAAATACTAGGGATGCTCTTCTCCTGGATCCTTTGCATGTCACTGTAAATGACTCTCTGGGCCCCTGTGTCCACCTGGGTCACCAATCCATGTACTGAGGCTTGGTGGTCCCTGTCCCCCGAAGTCCAGCCAGTCGTTTACCCCTACCCCTCCCTGCCTCCTAGCAGTTGAGAAGCTGTTACATCACACCAGCAGGGTGAGCCAAACATCAGTGATGATGTGCAAGGGCTTCATAGCGCCTGCCCCTCCACTGACCCTCAGAGCCTGGTTGCTGCAGCTTCCACTTCTCCCTTCTCTTGTGGCCAACTTTAACCTGGAAGCAAAGAGGGAAGGGGATGCTGGGAAACGTAGCTCCGGCTTGTTAAATCCTCCACGGGTATGTTCACTGAAGCTTTCAAATAACCGTTTAAAAATCATCCTTTAAATATAGTAAATGGAAAAATCCGTCAGGTGAGTAAACCTTCAACTTAACCTTTTCCCCATTAGCTATGATTTGCGTGGCTGCTGTTTAGTTATCCCATCCTGCATAGCAAATCAGCCTAAAACACAGTGGCCAAAGCAATTATTTTATTCTATTGTTTATTGTTTGTTCTCATTGTTCTGTAAATTGGTCAGAGCCCAGCTGGGCAGTTTCACCCCTAGATTTGCTTTGGGCTCTTTCAGGCAGTCGCATTGGGGTGGTGGCAGTGACTGGGGCTGGACATCTGACCCCTCAGTGTTCCTCTATGTGGCATCTCTCTCCATCAGAGCCCCCGCGATTCCTTACACAGCAGCCCAGAAATCCATGAGGCGGGAGTGGAACCTGCCAGGCTTTCCTAATGTCTGAGCCATATGAGTCTCAGAACATCTTGTCCTCCACATTCTATTGGTCAAAGCAGTCTTGGGCCCATTCTAAGCTGAAGAAGAGGAGATAATAATAACCAACTCCATCTTGTAAGTAGAGGAGCGCCATGTTTGTATAAAGCAGGGTCTGGATTGTTTGGGGTTGTCTTTGGTGACTAGTTGTTACAGCTACTCGCCTGTCTCAATTTAAGCTGCCTCCTCCACTTGATGAGGGGAACATTCCTCTCTGTTAGGGATGTTGGGAAAATGAAATGGGAAGAGATATGCAAAGGTGCAGGACAAAACCTTCACTTTCCCTGCCCTTGGACCGGTGACCACAGCCTGACATTCTTCATAGGACATTCCTGAGGGTGGACAGAAGGCAAAGGAGGAGACACATAGGAATTTGCCCCAGTCTAGTCCCTTCTCCCAGGTAGACCTGAGCCTTCCCCAGCACATCTGATGTCTTGACCCTCCTGACTCCAGACATAAGGTCCCTGTGCTGTGTGATCAGGCCCCTCCACAGAGCTTCAGACATCTCCAAAGTCAACACTCACTTCTGAATCAGCACCACAGACAGCACCATTGCCCTTTCCTAAGGAATCCCCAGGAGCCAGGTAAGCACTGGGCAGAAGGAGCGCCCCTATGGGTGGTGATCTGAGCTCGGCTGGGGCAAAGATGTGGTTGGTCACAGTCAGAGCACACAACTTGGTAGCTTGCAGAGGATCTCCAGCACAGTATGGGAGTGAGTGGTATTGAGAAGATAATATCTGAGAGTCCAGCAACTCCCAGGGTACCAGCATCACCTGCAGACTTCACATCCCTTGTGACTGCCTGAGACTCTCTACCATGTCTACTTGGCCCAGTCCTCCCTGAGACTCACGTTCCAGTCCAGAAGAGGAAGAGCTCCACCCACCCCAGGTCTGCTTCCCCATCACAGCCCCCTATCCTATGGCCCTGGAATTATCAGGTAACCTGTCTCCCTACCAGAGGGTGTTGTCCTCAAATGCAAGGGCTAGACCTGTCATATTCACCCCTCTTACTAGAAACCTGAAGGCATGATTTACATGATTGTTGAATCAATGAAAGAATGAATGAAATCTCCTCCCTCCCCTCCTGGAATGTGTTGAAAATTCATCCCTTTCAGATTTACATAAACTTTCTGCCTCCCAACCCAAGGAAACCTGGGCTCACAAAGATTGATGGAGTGGCTCACAGTGGAGACAGTAGTGCACGAGACATGGCACCTGTGTTATTTGGGCAATCGCTTACTCTGGTTCTCACTGTCTTCTTCTGAAAATTGGAGAAATAAGGCTAGAAGGTTCCTCAGCTTTGATGGCCCATGGGTCATACTTCCTCTTTTGCACACAGTTAGTTTCTTTTTTTTTTTTTTTTTTGAGGAAGTTCAGCCCTGAGCTTACATCCAGGCTAATCCTCCTCTTTTGCTGAGGAAGACTGGATTTGAGCTAACGTCTATTGCCAATCCTCCTCCTTTCCCCCCACCCTCAAAGCCCCAGTAGATAGTTGTATGTCATAGTTGCACATCCTTCTAGTTGCTGTATGTGGTATGCAGCCTCAGCATGGCCGGAGTAGCGGTGCGTCGGTGCGCGCCCGGGATCCGAACCTGGGCTCGCCAGTAGCAGAGTGCACGCACTTAACTGCTACGCCACGGGGCAGGCCTCACACTTAGTTTCTTGTACTTCCCCAAGTCTATCCTTTCAATTCTTCTGCTTTTCTTTGCAAATTGGGAACAACAGGAACAGGATCGGCATGGCCAGGCCCTTCTGACCACAAATGTTGCAGCTGTCCCTGCAGGGAGAGAGTGAGTGGCCAAGACAGGGGGACCCAGGAGGGGGATGGGGCTGCAGGATGAGATTCCAGCTGAAAATGCAGGAAGTGGTGATGGTGTGCGAGGGTCTACGCAGGCTCCAGCCCCGCACCTTCCTTCTCCATGATCATGACCCTGACTCCAGGTTTTGGATGATAATTCTGGGAATTGGGATAATATGGGATCGACAGATTCATGAAGTTGAATAGAAGAAAACAGACAGTAATTTTTCTATGTATATTTCTGTGTCTTAAGATAAAGACGTGCAAAGCCATAGTGTTAAAGGCAGCATGTTCAGATGATAAAACTGAAGAGAAAAGCAAGGAAACAAATGACATTACAGTGAAGCTGGGGTTCCTTGGCGGAGTGTGGTGTGGGGATAGGGAGGGGGACCATGGGGGAGGTCCTGGGTGTTCCCAAGGTTCTACTTCTTGGAGGATGTTCTTTTTTTGGTGAATCACTGAGCTGTTCTTGTGGGGGCACTTCTCTGTATGTGTCTTATGTTTCCCAAGAAAAGGTTTCAAGAAAACCCACATAGGTCTGAGGAGGCACCACCTCACAGGATTCCCACCACTGCCTCCCAGCCCCCACCACACAGTTAAAAATAACCTTCAGTGAATACAGGCTCATGTCTATTCTCTCATGAAATCTTCACCATCCCTCAGGGTGGATGACCCCCAGGCTGGCGTTCCTTACTCTGTGTCTCCCGAACACCTGCATGCTGAGAGCAGAACCTGCTCAGGCAACGACTCAGGGGTCGGCCGACCTCTTCATGCTCTGGAGCAATGTGCAGAAGCGCCGTCCTGTGAGACACTAGCGATGAAATAATCTGTCCTGGTGCCCAAACAGCCCTCACAAAGGGGAAAGTTTCTATCCCTTTCGAAATCTGCCCCTTCCGTCCTGCACTTTCTTCATTTCCAAACCCATGGTACAGAGAATCACAGGCTCAGTTTCCCAGGCGTCCTGTGAGCAGGGATCCCCTCAACGTCCTTGGCTTGTGCTAAGACAGAATCCTGGCCTCCACTGCCTGAGTGTCCCCTCTGCCCGTCCTCCTGAGACTCAACCTCCAACCTGGAGGTCCAGAGACACCCCACACTGCCTGTTTGTCTCCCATTGCAGCCCCTGTCACAGGGAGCTCCAGGTGCCCAGACACCTATTGTCTCCCCACTGGGCAGTGACTCAGGGCTGTGTCCAGGGCTGGTGTGTGACCTCATGAGCAGAGTGGGGATGCCCACTATGCGGATGCTGAGGTAAGGAAGTCAGTCGGTCTCCCTTATACCTTGGTTTCCTGAGTCCCACCCCTGGCTGCAATGACCTCCACAGACAGACTCAGGGGTTCTGGCCAGAAGGCACCAATTTTCACTTGGCAGAAAATGATCGGTGTGGGAAAGGGGATTCACAAGGAGGCAAGAGACGGGGCTCAGGCCCTGCATGGGGTGTGATTTTGGGTGAGGCTCTCATCATTCTGACCCAGGGTCCCAGGAGTGGACGTGGGAGGTCAATGGTTGACTGCAAGGTCTGTCACTGCTCCAACGGTGTCTGGATGTGAAGTTCCTCCTCTGAGCAGGGTCACTGTTCTGACCTCACTCTCATCTTCCTGTTGGAGCCTGCTCTGAATCTGCAACTTTTAGTTCCTGAGCCAGAACCCTGAGAAACTGACTTTCTTGTGGAGCCTGGCACAGCCAACGCCAGACATGCTGCTGCTGCTGCTTCTGGCCCTGCTCTGGTGGAGGGAGGGGGCCGAGGGACAGAGGGAGCCGGAGAAGGATTACCGGTTACAAGCGCTGGAGTCAGTGACGGTGCAGGAGGGCCTGTGTGTGTTTGTTCCCTGCTCCTTCTTCCACCCCTGGAGTCTCTCGAGGGGCTCTACCCCAGCTCATGGCTACTGGTTCCGGAAAGGGGCCAGAACATACCGAGATGCATTAGTGGCCACAAACAACCCATATCGAGAAGTGCAGGAGGAGACCCGGGGCCGATTCCACCTCCTTGGGGACCCCCGGAGATACAACTGCTCTCTGGACATCAGAGACGCCAGGATGAGAGATGCTGGAAAATACTTTTATCGAGTGGAGAGAGGAAGTGTGAAACATTCTTACACAAGTAACCAGCTCTCAGTGCATGTGACGGGTAAGGCGCTGGCTCCCAGAATTGCCACAGGGGCAGGACATGGGGGTCCTGGGGCAGACCAGGGAGAGAACTCTCCATCCTGGGAGGGGGTTGGGGGTAAAACAGGTCAGGGATGAAAGGGAGGAGCTGGATCCAAGCCTGAGGCTTCTGTCAGGGCCGCTCCTCAGACTCTCCCTCCTGATTCCCGTGTCTTCCCATCTCCTCACCAGCCCTGACCCACAAACCGGTCATCCTCATCCCGGAGACGCTGGAGTCCGGCCACCCCAGGAACCTGACCTGCTCTGTGTCCTGGGCCTGTGAGAGGGGAACGCCCCCCATCTTCTTCTGGATGTCGGCTGCCCTCAACTCCCTGGGCCCCAGGACCCACCTCTCCTCTGTGCTCACCCTCACCCCACGGCCCCAGGACCACGGCACCAGCCTCAGCTGTGAGGTGAAGTTCCCTACCGCTGGTGTGACTGTGGAAAGGACCATCCAGCTCCACGTCACCTGTGAGTGCTGGGCCAGGGCTACCAGGTCCCTGAGGGGGTCCTGAGGGCAGTGGGGATGGGGGTGTCAGGGTCTCAGACACTGGTGGTGGGTTCCAGAATCGAGGCTGGGAGGGGATCAGGCGGACACCCACCTCCACTTTCCCCTTCCGATGTGGCTCCTGGGGACAGAGGCCCATGTCCACCCAGCCCTCACCACTGATGCGGGGCCACCTTGTCTTTCTGTCCCAGACTCTCCACAGAACTTGACCGTCACTGTCTTCCAAGGAAACAGCGCAGGTAGGAAGGAGCTGTGAGCAGCTGTCCCCATCGCCCCCTCACTCCCCTCAGACTTGTCCACCCCTCCTCTCAGCTCCACAAGGAGAACAGGGCAACATTCACACAGCAGAGCCCACCTCTCCAGGCCCCTTCTCACCCATCTCCTGAAGACTCCTCCAGTCTTGTCTTTTTATTTTCCCTGACAATTGCTTAAGTATTTTTGAACAGGTAATATATTCATATGTCAAAAATTCAAAATGCACAGCAGAATCTGTCCTCAGATGCACAGTCCCCTCCCAGGAAGTGACCTGTGTCCACAGGCTGCTCTGAGCCTTGGTTTGTTCGGCTAGAGGATCTCAGGGGTCCTTTGGTATCAGCAATTCAGACAGTCCTCATTCTGCTTTGTGACTGCACAGTATTCCAAGGTCTGGGTGGATCTCATTCTGTACACATCTTCCCCTAGTGGAAAACCATGGCATTCACTTTATTCTACTAACAGAAACACTGCCACAAATACTGTTGTTTCTGCTTTCACAAGTGTGTGCATATGTGTGTGTGTGTGTGTGTGTGTGTGTGTCTGTGGGATAAGTTCCCAAAGGCAAAAAAAAGCTGCTTCATATGTTCTTTGTAATTTTGAGAGATATAGCCCAGTTGCTCTTCATGGAGACTGGAAAAGTGTACATTCCACCAGTGAGGGGTCAAAGTGTGCGTTTTCCTGCACTTCAAATTATGTCTGCGTGTCTGTCCTCCTCATCAGGTCTGCTTCTGCATACTTTTTCTTTCTTTCCATCTCTTTGTCTCTCTGACCCTCTGTCTCTTCTTCTCCAGCACCCACGACCCTGAAGAATGGGTCATCTCTTGCAGTCCTGGAGGGCCAGTCCCTGCGCCTGGTCTGTGTTGTCGACAGCAACCCCCCAGCCAGGCTGAGCTGGGCCCATGGGAGCCAGACCCTGAGCCCCTCACAGCCCTCAAACCATGGGGTCCTGGAGCTGCCCCGGGTGGAATCAAGGCATGAGGGCGAATTCACCTGCCAAGCTCAGCACCCTCGGGGCTCCCTGCATGTCTCCCTGAACCTCTCTCTGCAGAGTGAGTGCACCGGTGGAAGGGGGAGGGGCTGGAGGAGGAGGACAGCACCCACCCCACCCAACAGGCCACCCAGCAGCCCCCTGAGCTTCAGAGGGGAGCTCAGCTCTGCTCTGTGCTGGGTGGTGAGGCCTGGAAATTCCCTGGGACTCAGAGGGTCACTGTCGTCTTCCTGCCAGGACAGGGCTGTGGTTGGGGGAGGGCTGGAGTGGGAACCAGGGAAGAAGGTGGGTCTTGAGAGGAGAGGGGCTGGGGCCTGGACAGGTGTGTCTGGGGACACAAGGCCCTTTCTTTGGGGGCTGTGATGAGTGTCACTCTAGTGTGTCTTTCATCTTGGGCACAAAATTTAAGGAGAAGCCAAGAAACCTCAGCAACCAAGAGAAATAATATTGCAATGCAATATTCAACAAAACTAAAAACAATGCAAAAAAAAATTCCACAAAGAACAAAATATCAACATTTTCTTTAAAGACAGGCTGCAACTCAGCTCTCATGTGCCTCACTCTCCTCCCCCTAACCCCCACCCACAGCCCGTGAGCCTGTTCTTGCTCATGGCAAAGTGGCCTGAACACTGAAGTGTGGGTTCCTACAGGGAGTGGGAAGAGAAGAGACCGAGTTGTCAGAGGGAATCGCTAATAATCCAATCTTCTGCAGGAAAAGCGTGGTCTTTATCAGGAGTGGTGTGGTGCTGGGGGCCGTGGGGGGAGCAGGTGCTACAGCCCTGCTCTTCCTGTCCTTCTGCGTCATCGTCATCATGTGAGCAGGGACCTGGGGAGGGAGGGAGAGCCCTGGGGTGGGAAGGGCAGGCAGCCACGGATCCCTGAAGCCAGAGCTGGGGGACTGGGTGGGTCCAGAGCCTGAATCAAAGGCAGGAAGGAGGTCCAGGCACCCGGGTGAGTCTATCACAATCCCGAGCCCCACTGTCCAGGAGGGGAAGTGTGTGCTCTCAACCTGGGGTCTCTGGAATAGAACCACCCCTCTTCCACCTCAGTAACCCCTCCAGTCCCTTAAGAGAGAACAGAGGAGGGGCAGTCTGCCCACTGCACCCTGAGCTGTTCCGACTGAGAGTCTCTCTGGTCTCTTCACACAGAGTGAGGTCCTGCAGGAGAAAAGCAGCAAGACCAGCAGCGAGTGTGGGGGACACGGGCGTGGAGCGTGCAAATGCTCTCATGAGTTCATTCTCTCAGGTGAGTGACCTGGACATCTC